AAACTAATCTAATCAAACTTTACTGTGTATTGAAAATGCTTTGATCATTTGTTATTAATTACATTCAAACTCACCATTCACTTAAAACATAGACGTTCTTGATGAATGTTAAAACTCCCTAAAAAGTTTTGTCAACACTTTTCCAAGCAAAGTTGAATTTTGAATGTTTTTAATTTTATTTATAAATACTATGCATTTTTCATGTATCTTTAGTTATATTTATTTAATAAAATTATTTCGTATGCTTATTATCATGCCTTAAAACATAACATGTAAAGGATTTTTTCTTTGTATTAAAAAAATTGCTTAGAATCCTTTAAATCATTCAATGCGTAAATCTTGTAGGCCAGTCAGAATACGTATGTGAAACCATGCTTGTTTAGTTGATCAAGGGTTAAACATAATAACGTAATATCGGAATTTATATGTAATAATAATCTAGAACAGTAGCTTCAAAATAATATTCCGCGCATCACAAGAGTTCAGTGGAAAAGTTTAGAAGTTCCAAAAGTTTAGACTTTTTTTAATTTTTTTTTTTTTTTTAAATTTTTGAAAACTGAAATTGCATTTAGATCTGATCAATTGTCATTATTTACTTACATTTTGGTTGCCTTTACGACATTAAAGTAAAATACAAGTGACAAGTTTTTTTTTTTTTTAAATTACAGCTCCTTGAATAAATCATGAAGAGCATGTGCATTAATAAAAAATTACAATAGAATTTTTTACCACGCTTTTCAAATCAATATAAAATGACTCAATTTTAGTTATTATTTCAGCATATGAATATTGTATATAAAAACAAATTTATTACAGTTCTAGGACTGAATTCAACTGTCGAATTTAAAACCAAATTTAAGATTATTAATGATAAAACGATGTAAAATATTAATATAAGTAAATATTTCAAAAATAAAGTAGCCTTTTATTGGTTAATACACTCACAATTGCATATTACAGTTGACTCGCGTTATAACGACCCCATCGGGACTGCCCCAATCTGGTCGTTATATCAAATGGTCGCTATATCAAAATGAGCAAATTTCCTTTGAAAATCGGTCACATAATGGTTTTAAACGTCATAATGCATGCATATACTATTTGTGGTATACATGTTATAAACCAAAAAAGGATAGGATGCATACATTAATAAAACATAATGACATTTTAACAATTGAATTACAACTGTTAACAATTAAGAATTTTATTTTAAAGTACTGATTAAAAAACATAGTTTGACAAAAAAAAAATCTAGTTTCTAATGAATTAATTTTTTGATGTACATAATTTGCGGTATATATAACGAATTTTTTTTATGTACATAATCTGCAGTATTATAAAGAAGAGTAAACCGAGGAACATAAACGAGGCTTCATTAGACGAAGACATTAATTTTTTGATGTGCATTAATTTGTTGAAGTTACATGTTAAGAGGACTTAACATATGTGTGCTTGTTCAAGGTCAACCATTCAACCCCACTTTCCAATAGGTTAATTAAGTTAGTTAAGAGCAATGTTCAAATTCAGAGAGGGTCGTTATATTAGGAGTTGATCTTTTTTACGGTCGTTATAGCAGGAGTAAAATAACGTTATCTTTTAGGGATGTGAATTGGGACTCCTTCACAGGGTCGTTATATCATGTTGGTCGTTCTATCACAGGGTCGTTATAACACGAGTCGACTGTAATATGCATATAAAAAATTCATAACATTCTAACTTAACTAAGTGTTACTTTAAACTAAAACACTTTAGTTTTTAAAGTAGTCATAATTTAAAAAATTTTAAACTGTACAAAGACAGAAGCAAAAATGTCTAAAACATTTTTGCATGTTATTTTCAAAGAAAAAAAAGAAAGTGCATAAAATGTTTAGTCAAGACAACAAACAGTGCAAAAATATCTAATCCACTGCTCACTAAATAATTAATTTCTTTACATTTTCTTTTCACAGATTGTTCCATCCTGGTACTGATTGTTGGATTCATTGTTGATTGCTCATGTTGTTTTAAATATTAAGACATATTATGATGACGAGGAGCTAGTGTCAATGTATGAACACTACAGTAAATTTCTGCAGCCCTTGAGATTAAACTTTTTTACTAGACAAGACTGCCGCCATTACCATTTACATTGCTTTTGCAAATTCCTCTGCGTTTAAAAAATAACTGCTTGCATTACCTCAGCTGTAAGTTTCCAAATGCTGTTTAGAAAAATCTATGAAATTTTGATCAAAATAACTATTTACAGTTTTATCCATTTTGAATTTTGTGCTACCAAATTTCTTTTCAACTGAAACTCAAACAATGAAAAACGTATTATTACTTGAGTTTTATACGTTTAAAATGTCTGTTCACAATTTCAATACTAGTAAAATTACTATTATGAAGAGTTTCTTCTTAAATTAATAATTTATTTTTAAAACATGAATGCTAACAAGTTATCAATTGAAAATCGAACATTTGGGAGGCCACCAATGAGTTATAGAATGTAAACATAGAATTGCTTTTATAATTTAAAAACATTTAGATTGGAACTAAGCATATCCCTGATTAAACATATAATTTTACTTGGAATATTATGCATAATTCATGACATTATTAAGAAAGTATTTAATTATTCAACTGAGTTAAATATTGAATAATTTAATCTTGTTTTGTATTTAGCACAAAACGACATTGAAAGAAAATGGGTATAACGAAAAATATTATGCTTAGCACTGAGGTAAAACAATAACTGTTTCTGAAGGTTAGTAATGCCAGTATATAAAAGTTCTTAGTTTGATGGTTATTTTGAAAAAACTTGAGAATTTTTTTTTCTTCATTTTTATTAAATTTAAGGAAAGCAAAATTTAACTTATTGAGTAACTTTGATATAATATTTTGTACTGCTCTAAACATTGTGGGAGGCTGCTACTTCCAGATTGGCATTAATGATACTTTGATGACTGCACATATCAAAGTATAAATAAATTTTTTTCACATTGTTTTAATAATTTCCAAAGGTTGTCTTTGGTGCTTATGCGCCACATTGGTAAATATCTTCAGAGAGCACTGCTGTTATTTATTTACTTAAAATAATGAAGTTGTAGTGACTAATGGTCAAATGATCTTAATAAATGTAAGTTCTTAATTTACTTATAATTTTATTTTTCGAAAATAAAATAGACTAAAAATTTATTGGTTAAAAAATAATACTGATCACCTAACAAGTTATCAAATGAACACCTTTTGAAAGAATTTTAAGGAAAAATAATACTATATTTAATAGCACTATTGTTAAAGCATTACTTAACTTTCAAGCATTACTTAACGTCCTTTAACGTAACATTACTTTACTAACTTAATGTCAAAGCATTACTTAACTTTTTATTTAAATCAAAAATTTAGTCATTTTAACTAACAGCTAAATTAAAAATAAAAAACTGTCTTAATTTTCTCAAAAATAAAAGCAAATTAAATAAATATAGGCTTAGTTTAGTTTTTTTAGGATTAAAAAGGACATAAGGTTTATTGGTTTAAAAATAATCCAATTCTATCACATAATTATATTTACATGCAATATGGTAAATTAAAAAAAAAAAACTTTTTACAACAAAGTATAAACTCCTTAAATATAAAATACCTCTATTGAATTGTATCACTTAAAATGAAAAACAATTACAAAAATCAATGAAGAATCTTTCTTTTATTCATAATTTCTTTTATCAATAGATTGAGTTCAGAACGAAAATTTAAGATAACAGCGATCGCAAAAGTCTAGTAAAAATAACTGACAAAAAACGCCAGTAGGTCTAATATAAATAATTTATGAAAAACGTTAAAGCCCAAAAGACAAAAAAAGTGACAAAATAATGACAAGTGATAAAAGTGACAAATCAATCACAGCAATAGCAAAATAATGTAAGCCCCGCTGAAAATAATCTTAGCTGATGCTCTGAATTCAGGAATTCTGATTCAATTCGCTCTTCCACCATTCAACAAAACAAACATTGTCTTCGGAGACGCAGGCAAGAATCCTCGTTACCTTAAATCGCTAAACCGAGAGCGTAATCTTATATCATATTTCTGATGTGTCATTTAAAACAACAGTGCCGATTACCTGTATTAAATTGATATTTCGTGATATATCACCCAGTTCAAGACATAAGTAGTTTAATTTTGAACTAAAAGATTACTTCTTTTTTTCTCCTTAAAGACACTTACTGGTACTGTTTTACATTTCCTGATGGCTCTACTTAGCAATATTTGCATTCTTAAGAAACTTAAATGCTTTTGAGATATCCAATTGTCGACAGCAATCACAACCCGATTTACTTTCAATGAATGTCTTATTTTTCAGAAAAATATAACAACTAATCTTACATTCAACAAGATTAGTTTCGTATTCCTGGTTGAGACTTAATGTTTCTTCTCTATTGTCGTGGTATTCTTTTTCTTGTTCAGTTGTTTTTACAGCCGATTCAGAGTCTGTTTCAAATTTTTCAGAAAAATAGTCCACAAGTCATTTTTAATTAAGTAAAAATAATTACTTCACTAATCGTTGAAATATAATAAATGCTCCAATATAGTAAAAATTCACAAAATACTCATTCCCGCAAACTACTGCTAGAATTGAATGTTTTAAATTAAAGAACTGGTGCACATTATTTAAGAAACGGCATGCATGTAACAACTGAAACCCATCACTGGTTATCCACATTTCACATCCGAAAACGATACATTAGAACTGTTATTTTAGAGATCCTAAATTGAATTTATTTTTGAAGTATATATATTAAGTACATATATAGAACTGTAAGAATATTTTTCAACAATTTTCATAAGTTTATAGCAAAAATATCCATCTTATAAGCAGAGATAGCATATTTTAGGAAACATTCTGTTTTTATATAGCAATATTCAATCAGTGTAAAAGACAAGGCAAAATAAATAAACTTTTAATAGGTTCATTAAAAAACAAAAATTATAATAAGTAAATAATACTAACAGTGATATTTATTTACCTCCAAATGCAAATCTTTCAGCACACCATTTAATCGTGGTGTGCATTGCTTTGTGAATTTTGTTGGAGATTTTGCTGGTGACAAAAGAGGGTATTTTAAAAGTTTGGAAGGACCAGATGCAATTATTCGTCGATTATTAGAAATAATTCGTGCTTGAATAGGTGTTCTAACAGGTGTAGAAAATGCACCTGGTCTCCCACATCGTACAAGAGGAGATCTAAGGAGAGAGCTTTTATCAGTGGAATATATCACCATTTTGGATAATGCTTGAGGGACCACTTGTCTCTGAAGATTTCTTTGTTGCACTTTATTTGCCAGAAGACTTTTAATTAATGTACTAGAACCTGCAGCAATATGAGAGGATGGATGAGAAGGTTTTTGAGAATTGGCAGCATGTTCTGCAAGCCTTTTTAACGGAGGTGAAGTAACTCCACTCCTAGGAGGAGCAGACAGTTGTGCTTTCAGAATAGGACTGTGAGTAGGTTTATGACCACTTTTAGATGAAGTAGGTGTTGATGGACATGAAACTAAAAACAATAGAAATAAATGAACAAAAATATAATTGTTAGAATTATACTAATTGTAAATGTATCAAAATAAATTATTAAACCTTTATGAGGAGTACTTGTCAAAACAACAGGTTTTTGAGTAGGTGGTCCAGTTTGCGAAGTTATAATTTTTTTCCTTTTTAATCCTTCGTGATAAAATGTTACAATTCCATTTCCAGATTCAATTCTTTTCATTCCACATAAAGGAAAAGTATTCCTAAGTATGAATTTTAGATTATATGACAAATTCTGAACAATTAAGCTGCAATACATCAAAATAGGATATTTATAAAGTAGTAGTAAATTATTAAATATAGAAATATTTTAGTATATTTACTCTTTTTAGGAACTGATGGTAAGTGATTCAAAAAGTTATATTTCTTAACACAGGTTCATTATAATTAAAGTTTAAGTTTCAAAACACTATATAAAAAAAGAACCACTGATCAGAATAACTTACAATTTGAATGGTATATAAACTGAAGAAGAGGGAAAGGGTATGGTACAAGAAAAAAATGGCTCAAAATATTAGCAATACTCATTGCATCATGCGCATGACTCATTGCAGTTGCTATGAAAATGTTGGGTACACAGTTTTTCCCCACTTTCTGCCTAAGAAGCGGTCTCAATGAAGGTTTAGTCCTGCTTGTAAATCCATTTTACAAAAACAATGACTATGCACTAGTAGCTCAGCAGAAGTTTCAGACACTCATTAGTACGGAAGAAAAAAAAACCATTGGTCCAATGACTGCTGTGGATCTGGAAAAAATTATTCAGAAATTCAAAAAGACAGATTCTTCAGATGTGCAATATGGTAGAGGGAGAAGAAGAATTGATTCGACATTAATAGTGTCTGCTTACTTGGCAAGAGAAACTTTTGCTTCAGAATTTTTTGTTCACATGGGAATGAACATGAATATGAATGGGTATGGAGCATTTTGTGGACAGGCAAAGCCCATCTGAATCCATTTTTACCTGAAAGGATAAGTCAGTATACAGAATTGCAGAATATATGGGCAACAAAAAAAAAACCCAAGTGCAAATCAATCAGCACCACTTCAATCCGCAAAGGTCACTGCAGGTTGATGGTATTATTTATCATAAAACCATATCCTTTTGGGGATACATATGCTTCTAGTCCTGTTACCTGTACTGTCACTGGTTTGTGCATCAATGTCAATCAAGCTCTTCAACAGAGTGGATGTGTGAATGAGATCACTTTTACTCACGGTAACCCACACCTGCACATTGCAAACATTGAAGCAGCTGCTGAAATGGCATTTTGGAAAAGTTAGAATTATCAGCTGCTGTTTCCCTACAGCTTAGCCATCCTGATCACCTGGCCTTAATCCTTGCGACTTCTGGCGGCAGAGATATTCCAAAGATGTTGTGTTTAGTGTATAGATTGCAAGAGTAGCTGAAATGAAGGCACACATTGTGACACAATCTGAATGTGATCCTGGAGACACTGGATCAGTTGTGGAAGATGCAATTTCTCAATTTCAACTTGTTGTAGAAAATTATGAACAGCCTGTTGAACATTTTTTATGCTAGTGTCCTGAAAATTAAAAACTGGTTTAATTGATGCTTTTTATGCAGTTTTCAACTTCAAGACAGTTGAAAACAGATTTTTCCTCTCCATGTTATACGACCTTGCCGTGGTGGATGGACATACATAACTAACAATATCACAACTGTACATTCATGCATATTGAAGAGTACAATTGGTTTTGTATGTAACTTGCACATAAGCAGTTTTAAAATTCATTTGCGATTTGTAATTAACCGTTTTAGATAATGATGCTCACATCACAATTTGTTGCTAAAATTTAGAACTATTTTTTTGCTTTGCCATACACTTTCCCTTTTCTTCAATAATATTTTGTATTAAACTTACTTTAATTATAACCACACCACATAGTAAAAAGGGTAAAGGGAGCAATATATTATTAAATAATACAGAAAAAATATATTTAAAAATGATCAAAAGAGACAACCTTTTTTGCTTATCATACCGACAATTCAGCAGACACAATCTATATAAACATATTTTATATACTTTTAACCCTTAAACTACTAAATGTCTACAAAGCAAAAAGATTTTAATATGCTACCTGGGAAGATTGCCTAACAGGGAATATTTTTATTAGATCAGTCGACTTTTTTTTATATGAAAAAAACATCACATTATATTAATTTTTATTAATAAAAAATAATTTGAAAAATATTTAGTAAAATTAAAATTATTTTTATCTAGGTATGTTAAAAGCATCTCCCTAAACTTTTGCAACAAATATTTAAGAAAGATGGAGAATGGCTTGGTAACTTTTTGGTTGTTCTAAAAAGAATTTTTCTTCCTAAATATAGAAAGACGTCAAAACTAATATTTTTAAATGATTTAGAGCAAGTCATAGGTAGAAAACTGAACATAAAATCTAGTTTTTTAATTAAAATTTTGTATTGTTGCAACACTTAGATAAAAATTTATCAATTAAAAACATTTTTGTAATAAAAAATATTCCTGAAATTTTTTTTAATAGTGTCTCAAAATGTAAAAAAAAAATTAGTTTTTTTTATTTTCTAAAAAAAGATTTTTAATTAAAATGCATTTTATTTTATATTTACTAGTATTAAAATTGTAAATGCAATATCTTACTATTATTAAAATGGTAATAATTATGTGCGAAAAATATTACTAATGGGCTTTCTCTTCCTAAGATGGCTTAATTGATTGAGATTACTTTTGTTCAATTTTAAAATAAGTAAAAAATGATCTTCTGTAAATTTTTAAGAACTAGATTAATTTGAACTTGTACAGATTTATCTAAATCTTTTTGTACAAATATAGCTAACATTTATACTTACTTTAAATAACCTGCAAACACATTGGCATTAACCACATTTTTACAGCCTGTCTTAGTACAATGACCGACATACTCAACATACATTTCATTACGAGGAATAACACATCCAAGTGTAGGCTCAAAAGTTGCTTTCAACCTTAAACATAAAAGTATGAAGCATTGTTCAATGTTTTTAATATGTGTTTAAATATTTTATTGATTATAAAAATAGGACAGTATTTTCCGAATATATCACTACAGATGATATAAGCAACTGCATAAAAAAATGCATTAAGTACAGCTTCTTGAAACTAATGCGAAGCTAAGATGTTAAATACAATACCAACTAATTGAAACAAAACTATTGAATACAGTTGTTAGATAAACGCCAATCAACACGCATCATGGAACATTCTGAATTTTTGTTAAGCTTAGAATAGCTATTACCATTTATACTAGAAGGAAAAAGAGTTTTTAAAATTTTCAGGAAATATTTTTAGAATAATTTTTGAAGAATATCGAAAAGCTGAAATAAGAAGATGTGATAAAAATACTCAAAACATTAAAATTACCAATTGCTAGCAAAAGTTTCAGAATCTAACTCTTGGTTGATTGTAACTTTAGGAATTTCAGGAGGATTTTCTGCAAAACAAAAAATGATACCTTTTAAAATATAAAACAATTAAAGATTCTATAAAATTTGTACCAAGCAAAATATAGGAAAATAATGTATTATAAATGTATTATGAGTTTGTATTATGAATTAATTATAAAAATTATCAAGCTTTTTGTAATTGGGAACAACATTATCATGTTCATAAATTAAGGAAAAATGTCGACAATAAAAGCTCAAAATCAAAAATGCGACACATGCATAAAACCACTTTATGAAACAAAAGATGGTATGTGTATCATAGTATACAAGAAATAAAGATGTATGCTGAAGGTGCAATTGGAAAAGAAGGATATCTCTCTGAAAATTAACAGTATATGGTTGATATATTGCTAATAAAGTGTGTTTCCCGTGCACTACTACACAGTTTATCAATGTCTTGACATGCTCAGTATCAAATTATGGAGCTTATCATGGAAAAAATAACACTAATTAGCAAGCAATGTGCCAAGAAGCTTCAGTATGCATGAAAGAAGTGGTTGACATTACTCAAGTTGTGTGGGTGTTCCTTAATTATTTTTAATTTAAGGTCATGAGTACAGGGGCGCCAAAAACTTATATTTATTTTTGGTAGGGAAAATTTCTATTTCGCCAAATGAAATTTTGAATTTGACTGAATCATTAATAAGTTTGAATTTCTTAGCTTCAATAAAAAAATATTTTGTTGCTAATATTTTCAACCAATATATTACAGGTTTAACAGCGATATAAAACCCAGAAGAATGCCCATTTAGCCAATGGGTGCCATGCAAAAGATATTTTTTAAATTACAAAAGCGACAGTAGTTTAAAAGAAAGCTTAGCTTTGAAGCTTTTAGAAACATAGCTAGAAAAATATTACAAATATTTTATGTAATTATTCTAGAAAAAAAAAAGTTTAACATTTGCATGCAAATCAGAGTTATAGAGATACTTGGGTATTTATGACTCTGCAGTTTTTTTTTTTTTTTTTTTTTTTTTTTTTTTTTTTTTTTTTTTGTCCTAGAAAATGATGGGAAAATTTTTTCCTCACCCACTCTGATCTACTAACATAAGATATTTTTTTATAAAACTCTACATTTTGTTAAATCTCTATCAAAAGTTTGAATTTCAAAAATTAGAATTTTTAATAGACTGCAGTTCTCTTTCAACAACATTTTAGGCATAACAGTTTAAAATTTGAATCATTAAAAAGAATTTAAGGTCACAATAAAAGAGCAGAAAAAAATAAAAATATTTTAAAACTGACATTAATTTTCATTACATACCACATTTTTCTTCCAGTTCATCACATTCAGATGGCACTAATGTTTCTATTACTTTCATTTTGATTTGGCCTGAAGGACCATATTGACTAGGATCTAATGTCAGCAAACTTACTAAAACACCTATGAAAAAAGAGAACATTAATGCAATACAGAAATATAGATGAAAATAAATATGGAAAGAAATTCAAAGCATGAGCAATATTTTTGATGGCTATCAAAAAAAAAAATTATAGTAGGGATTATGTGTTAGTTGACGAAATCTCTTGGAAAAAATGCAACTTTTTACTAAGCATATTATATCGCTGCATTTCTAGCACCCCTTTGTGTCAGAGGCAGTTGCAGAAAAATTAGAAATTAGAAAAATGACCAAACTCTTGTGATTTAACAGGAATGAGAGTGGTCAGTGGTTAGAAAGCAAGGAGGAAAACTAAAAATAAAAAAATAACATATAGGGACAGTACATTCAAAAAGAGGGGTAGATTCATCAATTTTAAAGATAAAAATTTTCCCACCACAGAAAAATTACTTAAATTATTTAGAAATTTTATTACTCACATATTGTTCTAAAAATATAGTATTCTAGTATTCCTCAAATGTCAGTTCAGAATGGTCTTTAAATTTTTTATTAAAAAAATTCCTAAGACAAAAAATTTCAAAGTCAAAAAATTTTGAACTTTTACAAAATTGTTTGCTTTGATGTTTCATTCTCCTTTTAACTTATTATTTTTTCATAAAATATGTCCTGATTAGACCAATTTGATTGAAATAAGACAGTTTTGATATCATCAACAAGTGGGTAAACAGTAGTAAAATTGAATCGAATTTCAAATTAAGTCAAATCTGTCTTAAAGGCACTTGCTCGATTCACACCGATTCCAAAGCATTTTACGCGTCTTGGTTTTTGGCAGCTATTGCTACAGATTTCTACACGATTTTTAAATTTGTTACTTTTTCTTAGATTTTATTACAACACAAAAATTTAGAAACGTACATTTTAGAAATAACTATTTGGTACATTTATTTTGCTCTGAAACATATTTCACAGAGTTTGTCCTTTGTTTCCTGGCAGTTATTGTTCTGGATTTCTATTCAATTTTTAATACTGTGTTACAATGAGATACGCAATAATTTTCAATTGGGCAATAACTTTTTAGCACTTTCGATTCCCATCTATTGGCAATTCATACTCGTTTAACGTTTTTTCCATAACTATAACAAATAATTTCCACATGGTCTTTAAACCCTGTTTTTTTATCTGTATTTGTTATGACATGCCGATTTTGAATAGCGCATTTCAGTGTATTTTTTATAAGTTTGATTCTCGGCTATTTCAACTTATTCTACATGGCCTTGTTTATCTAATTTTTGACAGTTATTGCAAGCAAGTTCTATGCAGATTTGAATATCTCATAATTTTTAATTCAATTACCAAACAGTGACTGCATCGCAAATCCACGTGGTTCTTCACACGTCCAATTCATAATAAACTGGACAAAAATGCAAAATAGTGAGCTGCTAAAAGAAACGGTAACTAAAAGGCGGAAATTTTTATGTCAAAAATATAGAAAGCCAGAAATTTGGCTGCGGGCGGAAAAATCTCATTTCTGATTTGAACAGAATGATGATAATCAATAAAACTAGGGAATTGGAGCAGGACAAATGTGAAAATTCATCTAACATGCCATCGTCGAGGGGTGCATTTAACTGAATATAACACCTTTGTTTCTAGTATTCAGAATTTACCTTAAAAAAAAAAAATAGAATGCATTTTTTCAACTTGAAAGTTACATATGTAAGTTTTACTCTTTCTTTAGACAGGGGGGGGGGCTGCAGCTCCAGTAACCCCTGTTAATTTGGCTTTTCCGTAAGATTCTCAATTGTCGCTGCTTTTCAAGTAACTTTGTATTTTTGGGGTACTTCTTCAGTATATCCAGCCCAATTTACGGCAGCAACGAAAACAGTCTTTAAAGGATATTTACCTATAGATCTGTGGACACAAACTATTCTTTCACATGCATATCGCCCAAGATCAGACAATGCATACAGAGCTTCTAAAGCATAAAACATTAACATTATATCATGAACAGATAGAAAAGACACCATGTGTTGATAAGCCTGCAATAAAAAGGTTAAATATAATGGAATGAGAATAATAATAAAACTAAACTACATTAAAAAACATTCATTCCTATGTGATATTATAGGATCTTTGTTGCGGGCAGGTTCATTGTCAGTTCTTACAAACATTGGAAAAAAGTAAACAAATACAATTAACATACAAATTAAGCAACATGAATTACAAGCTTAACTATAATAAAATTAACAATTTAAAGGAATTTCACTTTAAGCTATCACAATTATGTTGATTGTTTTGAAATGTCATTATGTCAATGTTTCAAACGTGTAATGTTTAAAATGCAGGGATGTGAATTGCAAAGTATTATATGCATAAAAAATTCAGTCGATGTGCAACTCCAAGAATGCATAAATTATACTTCTCTAAGTGTAACGCGAAGTGCTACTTGTAATTTGCAGAGAATAAAAGGAATCTGAGGAATTAAATTACACCTGTTAACTATAAAATTTACACACATAAAATTAAATGGTAATGATTAAAAATTAATCCTCTTATTATTAAAATAACAACTAGTTAAATATTGAGGACAATATTTCAAATTAACACAACAAATTTAAAGATCGAAAAAACATTGAATATGAAACAAAAATAGAAACCATATTAAACCATGAAAAAAATTATTATTAAAGAGAAATTCCGTCAACTATGATACATTTCTATCACTAAAGGTTGGCAAAGCATAATGAACAAAACTCCATCAAGCAGGGATCAATTATATTGCAGCAACCCTAAGGGAAAAAATTCGCTTTTATTTATCTTTTTTTCACACCTTTATTTTTTCTATACTTTCGCACTTAGAAATGTAAAAACCAGGGATGAGATTGGCCAAAGGTAAAAAAGCTGAATTTTCCTGCGAGTAAATATTATGTGATTTACAGCAAAAATATCAGTAACATATTCTCATCCAATTTTGCTGAAGTTGTCATGCCTATACATAGCAATAATCGTCAATAGAAAAACTGCCACTTTTATAGTAACTAATTTGAGAAAAAAACTTACTTTTTACAAGAATCATGATAAAGGATTTATTTAAAAGCGTGTGAATATGAATCACGATATTGAAATCACGTGAATGAAACTCGATATTGGATTTCAAAAATGTGAAAATACAAATCATGATGCGTAATTTTCAGATCGCGTAAATAGGAATTACGATGCCTAATTTTTAAATCACATGTAAATACGAAAATAGATGTCGGATATTACAACCACAAAAACGAATCACGACATTGAATAAACTCGCAGGAATACGAATCGTTACATAGAATTTTAAAAATACCTCAATACAAATCGCGATATTGAAATCATGTGAATAAGAATCGCAACTTTTAAATCAGGTAAATACGAAAATTGATGTTTAATATTAAAATGCAGCGAGGTCTAGATTACAAAAATACGAGCTATCTAGCGGAAGGGTAAAAATGAGGAAAATCTGATTTTCTGCGCGTAAAAGCTAAAATAAGTAGATATGCGGAAGGGTTGTCATCTATGTAGTTTGAATTTTCTATAATCTTTTGATATATTATAACTATTTATCAAATCGGAAATAAATAAAATTATTTTATTTTATAGGCTAAAATTTGAGAGACAAAAGCGAAAAAGGCGGAAATCCGCTATAAAGCGGAAAAATCTCATCTCTGAAAAACATATCCTTTTTTGCAAATTAGAAAAAGCAGAAATGTGCTGATGTATATAATAGCACAATAAATGAGAAAATAGCTCCTCAAATCTTCAGAAACTCTCTACTTTTTAAAAATAGGAGGTCTTTTGGAAAGAAGTGTAAATAGTCTAATGCGCAATACGAATTTTCCTGTCTGAAATACATTGGTTCTTTAAAAACCATAATAAAATCAATATCAATAACTGCCAGAAAAATAATCAAAACACCACATGAATTTACGATATTATGTAAGTAAATCCAGCGACTTAAAATGTGGTTACTTAAAAGCGTAATTGGAATTTAAAGTGTCAAAATAATATAAAATGACAAACATAGTTTTTAAAACCATGAGGAAACAATAACTGCAAAAAATGGAGTAATTATTACATTAAAGGTATATAATCAAATACACAATTTCAAAATTGTATAAAAAAAACATTGGGATATATTTTTAAAAAAAAGGAGAAAAGCAATAACTGATGAAAAACGATTGAAACACCACTTAAATTTACGATATCGAGACAAATTGAGGTTACAATATCGTTGGTATTTAGTAAAAAATACCATTAGAGAATCAATAGTAATAACTGAGCAATGAAAGACATCGGGATTTTAAAAATTGAAGTAAAAATTCTTAGTAATAGTTGCCAAAAAAAAGGATCAAAACACTACTGTATTTACGATGGTATCGGTAGATGAAGTTGTGAGCAATTGAGAGATGACTTAAATGCATTTAAAATTTTTATGTGTAAGTATCATATTAAATTGATTTTATTTCAACTAAATAAAAATAAGGACAAACGTACCAAATTGATTTATTAATTCTTTCTCTACAAATCTGAATTTGCTACAAAATTCCCAATCATAGTCATATTTTATTAAAATGTGTAAAATGATGTTCATAAAAAAACATAACATTTAGAGTGAACAATCTTATAAATTTTTGTGATTTTGGGAATTACTCTTCATATTATAAATTTTAACTGTAGCTAGTCATTACCAAATTTTTTATCCTCAGAGGAGAAAAAATCAAGAGCATTTCTTTGTCTTTTAATACACGAGAAAGGCATCTCGTGTATTAGTATCTTTTTTGCTTCCCAAATGAAAAATCTTTCTGCAAAAACTCTAACAAACTTCCACAATGTTGCTGCTCTACCGCGCTGCGCTTTTGCCACGAAGCAATTAACACTTCATAATTCTTATCTATATTACAGATAAGAATTGAGCTGAATTGTTATAATGTTTCATAATAATGATAATATAATGTTTCAGAATAATTATCTTTAAGCATAAATAATACCATGCGTTTTGAAGAAAAAAAAAGCTAATAGTTTCAGGAATATTTTTTTATAAATCATATGTAATATAAATCATAATGAAAGAAATAATTATAATGCAAGTATTGTGCATGATATAAACAGTTATGGAACTTGACTTCTAATAAAATGTCTTCAATGTCAGAAAAGTTAATAGGCCAGGTTTTCTCACATTTCAACAGTTTAAGACACTTTTCGGCAGAATTCTGACGTGACAAACCCAACCCTATGGAGAATAAGATCAAAAATGCACAATTTGATTCTTGTTCACCTTATGCATACTCAGATTATTTTTTATAGGACATATAAATAATTTCTCAATGTTATATTAAGATTTTTCATCTATATTTTATAATGAATATGCAGGGGTGCACAACCAGCGGCCTGATGACTGTTGATATGTGGCACACAGAAGCTTCTGAACACAATTTTAAAAAAAATTTTTTTTTTGAAAAATAAAAAAACTTTGAAAATTTTGAAAAGCACATTAGAGTTATCACTTTTTGACGAGTTCAATTTGCAAAAATTTTATTGTAAATTTTCGTTGTTTCTCAATCTCTTTTACCACAGTAAATGCTTTGGAATTCCACATAATTTTTAAAAAACCTACTATTTTTGGTAAGATATTACAATACACGAATTTAGAATTTGAGTAATAACTTTTTGATTCTCTGTTTTAGCTGATTTCATCATAAGCCCAATAATTTATTTTGATTTTTTTGGACAGCTATAATTACAAATTTTCAGGTGGTTTTTAAAATCACGATACATTTCATATATTACCACTCGTGAGTCATAAACTGAGTATTTAATTGATAATTTTTTGATATGCTTTAATATCCCTGATTTCCTTATAAATCTAAATTATTATTTTCATTTTTTTAAAAAAAATGAATGTCATTGCTACGCTTTTAAACGTATTTTTGAAAACTCATATCTTAACTAAGAGATTATTACAATTCAGGAGTAATGATACACTGTTATTATGAAGTGAGAGTTTCTAATCACGTATTTAAATAATCACTTTTTTATACAATTTTGCACTCATATCATTATAATTCCAAATTATTTTCCCACTGCTTTTTTGTCAATTAGGGCTGTGTGTTTGTGTATCCATGTCATATTCAAAATCACAATATTTAACATGATGTTATTGCAACATGAAAAGAGGAAGAAAATGTGAATTTTTAAGCTGATCACTGTTAGGAATTGAGTTTAAAATTCTTTGCAGCTTAGGTGATTTTTTAAAAAAAAAAAAAAAACAACAACAAAAAGAAAACTTTTTCTACGTAAAATTCATACAATCTCTAATAATTCACAAAATAACATCTGAAGTATAATACTAAATAAATATTGGATCTAATTTTGCATGATAATGTTTTCGTTGTAATTTTTGGTTCATGTTTAAACCTAATAATCCCTGATTTTTAATTTTTGAATAAATTCAAATAATTAAAAATATTTAATTTGCTGTAAAGATATTACCAAGTTTACTAATGAAAAAAATTTTGATCTTAGAGCACTAATGTTTATAAAAATTATCATATTTGCTGTCAACATTTCTAAATAAGTATGCAGCCCTTCTTTACTTAAAATGCTAGGCAAGAGGTCCTTCTCAAAAAGGTCATGCACCCCAAGAATATAGGGTTATTTAATAATAGAATTCAAAAACTTCAAACATACCTCAGCATCTAATTGAGATGGTATAATGTCTTCATTGGGCTCATAGTTACACAATTGGGATAAAATGTCCATTGACCTTATATTCATGTATCTATCAGGTGACTGTATTCCCTTCATAACAGTTTCGAATATTAAACGTGAGCTAATGTCTTTCTCAATAGATAATTTTATCTAAAGAATAAATAAATTACAAATTATAATTATATACCTTTTTCCAATCACTTTGTTGTTTTTGTTTCAAAGCAAACATTATACTTACTTCAGAGGCAATATTGGACAGAGTATCATATGCTGTCTGTTTGAGATTAGTCCAAGAAGAATATATACTCAGTAAAAGAAACCTAAATATATATATATTTTACAACTATCTTTACAGACAGAAAAAAAAGACATTTGTAATCTAGATTCATTTTTATTATTAAAGAATAAAAATTAATGATATTAATATTTGCTTTTAGTAGTAAACGCCAAACTATTATTTGGTGACAATAAGCAGTAACAAAATTTTTGACTATTTTTTTTTTTTTTTTTTGAATGAGAGATTCTTTTGTAAGAAAAAACTAAGCAAAGCATCATAAGCCTGATAAAAAAGGAATAAAAATATTGAGTTTAACAATGACTTTGTTCTTATTCTCTACTATAGAAGTCTTCTCTATGTCTTTGTTTCTATCCACAATTTTTTTGGACGTTTGAAAAGGAAAGAAAAATTTTCCTTTCAAAGCAAATTTCAACATATGGAAAATATACACATTTTTTAAGTTTTTTTCATGAGTAAAGCTATTTTTTCTCTCTCCTTAATCTACATTTATACTTTTCATGATAATGGGTCTTATAACACAGGGCTCAGAGAGGGTCATAGTAGAAAAAGTTGTGAAAAAAGTGACTAAAATTTTTTAAAAAGTGATAAATAGTGACTTAATTAAAAACAGTGTTAATATTCAGGCAACATCCTAATAATCTTAAAAATATACAACTTAAAGGAAAAAAGTTGGTTTAGAAACATAATTGTTGTAGCTGTTTATTGCTTTAATTTACTACTACTGAAAATTTAAAAAAAAAAAAAAACATTTCATAATAAATATTTTCTAATTTTTCCCAACTAAAAAAAAAGTTGCATGCTTGACTTCAGCTGCTATGACTTAAAGTATTATAAAGAAGCTGCGAAAGTATACAACAAAAATATTGTTAAAATATTTAAAACACAATGTGTTTTTAAAAACAATGTGAAGAACTGAATAAAACGTTAAATAAGTATTATTGCAACAAAAAAAGTGCTTTTACAAAAGAAATGGCGCAAAACACATGTGGTAAAAAGTGATTAATGAAATAAAAAATAATAATATCGTATTAAAAGTATCAAAATTGGAAATATGTGCAAAACTGGACACATGTGATCATTGTCCTAAAGGGGTTAAATTCGAAATATGCATAGGTAGTAACATTGTATAAAAAATAAAATTTTAAAAAAATGGTTGAAAAAACTCTCAGGGAAAAAAATAGATTCACGATGAAACCGTTAAAAGTGATTTTTGAATAAATCATTAACAAATTGTCGTTACAACATCACATTAATAAAAAATATAACACCGTATTAATATGAAATTAAATTAATGTAAAGTCTGTTGGAAAACATTAATTTACAACGTAATCGCCCTGAATCAAGTGTGTAAAAAAAAGTTAACTTTAAGGTGAAAGAGGTAAGTAATACAGTATACAGGGTGTCTCAGTTAAGCGTTTCAGAACTTCTAACAGGGGTAGGGGGCATCCTTACGACTCGAAATCATATAGCAATGTGGGGTCGGAAATGCTTTCCTGAAGCGGTGACGTACACAGAAGCACCATAAAGAAAAGAGACCGTAAGTGAAAAATCGCTATAATAATACATTGAAAAAATTATATGGCCTCCTCGGTCACCCGACCTATCATGTCTTGATTTCTGGAGTCATATGAAAACACTGGTTTATGACACCCCTGTTGATAATGCTGGTTGCAAGAATCGCAGTAGCTGCCTGCGAGATATGCCTGGAGTATTGCAGAATGTTCGAATGTCCATGCGCCGGAGATGTGAGGTGTACATTGTAGCCGGTGGCAGAAACTTCGAACACTTACTTTGGCCCATGTACCATATAATTTTTTCAATGTATTATTATAGCGATTTTTCACTTACGGTCTCTTTTCTTTATGGTGCTTCTGTGTACGTCACCGCTTCAGGAAAGCATTTCCGACCCCACATTGCTATATGATTTCGAGTCGTCAGGATGCCCCCTACCCCTCTTAGAAGTTCTGAAACGCTTAACTGAGACACCCTGTAGAACCATTTATCCGGTATCCAGAAAAGTGGGAAAAATTTTGCTCGGTTTTCCCGAACTAGAACGATTATGAAAAAAAGCGGAAATTTGACTCATCCTTGAAGCTAAGTAGAGGAAAATGTGGGGGAAGAATTTTTCTCCCCATTTGCCCAGAGAAACGTCATTTCTTCTGTGACCTTCATCTTTAGATCGAGAGGAGACAAGGAAGGGACGAATGTTTTATTTTCTCCGGTATGTCAGAAAGAATCGTTTTTCTGATGAGCTGCCGTCAATCAAACTCAAAGGAGTGGTATGCTGATTTCGTTTTCTCTTTGATTTAGGAGGGGGTGGGGAAAATGCATTGCACATGCATATCAGTGAACAGAAGATGAAAGAGAAATAAAAAAGAAAAATATATCCCTATACTTTACTTCGAAAAGTAAAATGGAAATACGAAAAATATTTAAATACGGCTACTCATTATTCAATAATAAAGTAGGAAAATAGTTAAGCTGAATTTAATCATTTAAGAAATAATCAGAATTTTGTAATTATAATTTAGTAAATTATTAACATGACTGTGCTAGTAGGGGAAAAATAAAAAAAACTATCAAGCAGAATTAAATGATTCCAAAGAGAGTTAAAAAACATGTGTTAAAATCCAAATTTGAGAGGTTAGTTTTTTTTTCTCATTATTTAAAAAAGTGGATTAAATAAAAAGAAGAAAATTGGGAACATATAATTAAAAAAGTGGATTAAATAGAAAGAAGAAAATTGGGAGCATATAATTATAAAAGCAACTAAGTTTTACCACTCCTTCTAAGAACATGACGTTTTAAAAAATAAAATAATAAATAAGTATGATTATTTTTTTAAACTCGGATCCTGTTAAATTTAGAATCTGGGATGAAAATTCAGAAAGTGAACATTGATATCCTCTGAAAGTAAAATGACGGATTCAAAAGCCCTGGGAATAGTCAGGGAAAACGAGATTCGAAAAAAAAAAAAAGTCAGTGAGTTCCCAGGGGAAAACGCAATTTCACCACAAAACTGGAAATTGTCATTGTTGGAGAATTCAAAACTCAAAGGAAAGATTTGTTTGGTTAAATTTTAAAAATTCAACTAGTCAAGTCAGATAATGCATATTGACAAACTAAATGAAAATATTTAATAACCACCTACCTTATAAAATTTGAATTAGACACTAAAACAGGAACATTATTTTTTTCAAATGATAAATTGTGTAAAATTAGGGCAACCTATAAGTAAAAGTTCATTTTGATTTAAATGTTAAAGAATAATAAATCAAAAATAATAAAATAAAAATTAAATTACCCTTAGCACTCTTTGACCTTCTATATTCAATGATCCAAGATCAGTCTCTAAATTCAGCAATGTATCGTCCGGATTGCATTCACCTGGAAATAGTATCATGTGAGAAAAGGTCCTTATTCTTATGATTTTAAAGCCAGTAAAAAACAAGAGCCAAATATACCTAAATCTATGTCTAATAACTGGACAAGTAAAGTGTTCCGCAGGTCTAAAGTGCTTTTCCAAAATCTTTGCATTTTTCTACCTTTTAATCCCTTCCAACTTTGCAAAAATAAAAACTTCAGTGAGGTTTCTCCTGAAAAAGAAATTTTAAACTTATTTTATTGTATTATTACACACATAAGTAAACTGGCATGACTTCATCCCACCAGCTGGTAAACAATGAAGCTAGCTATCTCCTACCATTGGTTAAGCTAATATTTTCTGATCTTGGAATTGAAAATTGAGATGGATCATAGTAGTTACAAAAGTTGTAAAAACTGTAATTTTGTTACAGCTTAAGAAGCCTCTTCTTTCACCATGCTGATTTCAGGTTAATTTTTTTTTAATTTTCTAGCATTTAATAAACGTCTTAAGATAGAGTGTCATTCAAGAGCAATGTACTTTTCAAAAAAAATAAAAAATGAAGTGGTTGCTTAGTTCAGGCATGAGAGTGGAAAATGAACAAAAAGTATCAAATTAACCAGAAACTCAAATTACGAAAAAATAAAAAAAAAAATATGAAACTATTTTGCACAAAAAGAAACATTTAGGTTATTTTTGAACTTATTTATCAAATTTTCTTAACACAAATTACTCAAAAACACTGATACTTAGGAAAAATTTGAAAACAGACTGATGTATGATAATGCTGATTGTAGAATTATATAGGTACAGGGTTGCCACAGAAAAAAATGAACAAATTACTTTTAGGAGCCTAAAGCATGAAAATGTTGCAGAAAACAATGCCAATAGTTGCCTAAATAAGAAAAAAAATTTATTAAAAATATGACTAAAATATTATTAAACGACTTAATTGCCATATACCATGATCCATTTAGTCAAGTGGATGGCAATACCAGAATTCAGACAGGGTTAGTCCTACGTCATTAGCTCTCTTCGTTCCAAACTTTGTTTTGAACGGAGCAAACAATATGGCGTTTCTCATGTAGTTAAAAGTGGGTCAACTAAATCTTTGAATATATTAATATAGAGTCGAATTTAACCACTGAAATGGCAAGAAAAAGTGTTGCATATATTAATATTATGTTAATCTCTTTTTATGATATTAATTGGAGTAGCTTATTAATTGTAAATGATTATGAAAACTTTTTGTATGTATGATTGGGAGAATTAGTATTTAATATTTACCATATAAATTGTAGTTATAATCTGGAAATCGGAAATTTGTGAATCTTATTATTTGAAAAATGTTATTTCTAATTTATGTTTAATTTTTCTTAAAATATGTATATTATATTAAATAAATTTTTTTTTATAATATTGAGACAACTTATTAATTGTAAATAATAATGAAAATTTAAAAACAAATTAAAAAGTTATGTAAGGAGCATGAATAAAGTCAGATAAGTTAGTGAAAATTATAAAGCATTTAAGATACACGTTTTTAAAATAGTAAATTTACCAATAAATTTGAGCTAAAATGATAGGAAGAAAAAAAAAAAATATTATGTAAACAAGATCTTAACACAGACGTTGACAGATCTTAAAACATATTTACAACCAAATTATGAAATAAATTTGGATGACTTGAATATTACGTTCACTGTAACAAATAAAATATTACTATGAAGGTAATTTAAAAAATTTTGATTTAGACTGTTAAATGCAAATTTTATTCTCTAAAAAGTGATAACAGTAACATTTGCCAAATATAAAAGCTGTATAACTAAATATGTATACATGCATTAAAGAGTTAAGTTTCTAAATTAAAAAATTTCTTAAAAATTTGAATTATATTTATTTGAAATGCATGCGAAATTAATATTATTATATAAGTAAAATTTAAACACCTATGTGAATACATAGATTAATAAATATGAATGTTAAATAAAAGTTTCTGTATGGGATAAGTATGTTTTAAAGAATTCTAAAAAATTCATGTTGCACTTTCTTATCGAATAAAATAGGAATCTGAGATTTTAAGATAAATTCATATATAACACCTACAAAAATTGTTCCTCTCGCATTTTAAAATGAAAATTAAAAAAAATTTTAAAATAATTTAGCTATTCTATATATTAAAATTCTGGAAACTAAACATAGTATTGACCCTTTTAACATAACACTACACTGCACTATCATAACACTACACATTAACTTAGCACTACACTAGTAACGTTAAGAATAATCTAATATTAATTATCTAATAATAAGGTATCTTAATTTTCTCAAAAAATTAATGCATAAAATTATTGTTAAAAACTATTTAATGATGATGTTGACAAATATAACAAGAAAAAATCTCAAGTCAAAATAAATCTCAGTTTAAACTAAAACTCTGTGCACATTTAACAATAAGTTAGTAACATAATTTATTCCTATTTAGTAGTTAAAAACTAAAGCTAATGAGAATTAGCAGCAATAATCAGAAAATCTTAAGCAAACAAAGTTTACAATAACTACAAATTTAATCATCAGACTTAATTAAATAAACAGACATTAGTATTGATAAATACAATCTAATTATAGATTAAAAATTACAAAACGTTTTTAAAAACAATGCATGCCTATCCATAACTAAAGAAAAAAATTAGATGTAGATCAAGAATATGTAACAAATTCTAAATAAAATAAGACGTTATTATAAACATGAAACAAGAGTTAAAAATATTGACGCTTAAATTTTTATGCATCAAAATTAAAGATAACTTGACCATTTTGAAACTTTTTTTTATAGCATTTAATGCACTTAACTCGTAAAATCTACTGATACCCCGTATAAAGAAAACTACTTAAATTAGGAATAAGTCCCTTAGAAGCGCTATATAAATTTATTTATTTCAATAATAAACTAAAAATCTTACCATCTTAAATTCACATAGTAAATGCCATTGAAATGGTTCGTTTGAAAAAATGTTTGGAACATGTTTGGAAGGACGCGGGGTTTGACGTCATAAAATACGTCATCACTGTCCCTGTCTATTCATTCAAAAGAATAATTTTTCATAAAATGTTTTACTTTTTATCAATAATTGATTTATCGCGCGTACGCACGCACACACACAAACATATATATAATTAAAAATTTGGCTTTTTAAAACCATGCAGAATTTTGCAGCAATAACTGTTGAGAAGGGATCTGAGAGCATTAAAAAATGATGATTAAAATTTGCAATTCAAAATTTTTAATTTTATAAGAAAAAAAATTTATTGTGTCAGGGCCGCAGGTTATCAACCCAATTTAAGCTAAAAAAACATCACTAGGAGTACAGAAAAGTCTCCCAATAGTCTCCTTTTCCTGAAAATAGTTGCTTTTTTGGCCTTTTCAGGCAAAAAAAAAAGTTGCCATAGTTGCCTCGGGCCGAAAATAGTTGCATTTTAGTCTCCTATGACAACCCAAACTTAATTATAAAATTCAAAATACTAATTCTCAAATTCTGTTGGCTTTGTACTTTAAATGTCACAAAGGATACTGTAAAAATTCAAAATTAAAGTTTGGTGTGGAAGAAAGAAGTCTCTAAGTTTAAATAATCCTTAAAAATTTTGATTGCAAGAGTTGTCTAGCCTGTAATTTTTTTTTACCTTCTTTTTTTTCGCATTGCTAGTTGCATACTGGGTTGAGAAAATATCACAAGTTAGCATGTTTTACCTATAACAATCAATGAAGCCTTTGTAAAGAATATAATTACATTTGATAACCAAGTGAATCTATTGATACCTAAAATTTTCTAACCAAAGTGAGTTCACTCAAGATTAGATTTACTTCATTATTGACACATTCATTAACAAATTTGTGTTTCATAAACAGTAACTTACTTATGTGATTTAAATGTAGCAAAAGAATCAGATTTTAATTTTTTTTTTCTTCAGAAAATGGCAAAAATGTAATTATTTTAAATTTTACTTAATTTTGAGGTATGAAATACAAACATTGCACAATAGATAAATAAATAATTATATAAAAATTAAAAAAAAAATAAAATGGTACCTCGAGACCAAATGCCTGCTTGTGCAATGAGGAGTGAAACTAATTTTGGGCACTGTTCTAAATGTAACATATAATTTCCTTCATTAGATAAAATAGTGCACACATTTAGAGCCAGTTCTTGTTCGTTTGGAAGACCAGATATAAGAGACATGCATAATTTGTCATAATCAGTTGGGAAAACAAAATTTCGATTCAATGCAGATGCTGAACGAGCAAGATCTAGAAAATAAATTATAAATTGAGAAGTAAAATATTTAATGATATATTTAATAAAATTAATTATATATGGGGAATGAAAATTATTTAACAAACATCCAATATACTGTGAAAGAAATAAGCCAAGTTCTGTTGTTAGAGCAACACCCCACAACAGCAACAAGATTTTTCTGATACAGGGATTTTAATACTAATAATTTACGCAATTCATAGAAAGAACATAGCAGAGGATACAAAGTATACATGTAACACACGAAGAGTAGATTTTACTTTTTAAGGTTGATAAGAATTCTAAACTTTTACTTTTTTTGGGAAACTATAACACGATCAATGCTACTAAATATTTGTAAGATATATAATACATTAATAATTACATATTTAACAATTTTATAGCAGCACAAAGAATTCAGACGAAGTCAATGTAACAAAGTGGAGCCCCATACCGACCTCCATTACCTAAAAATGCCTGCCTCCTGGACTTTTTTTATTATCATAATTATGGAAGCTTTTTTCAATTTAAAAAAAAATATTTTATGATCTGTTACAAAATTTTATAAGAAATCCACTCTACTATTAACGTGATATCTTCATATAAGTAGCTTGTAATAAAAATATTCAGCATTCAAGATTACGCAAAAATTTTTAATAATTTTAACATTTTATTAATATTAAAAAAATTATCCAGATTTTAAATAGTAAAAAATTTTGGTAGAAAAGCTTCAAATAACAACGGAAATTAAAAATGAATAACATTAAAATCGCAAATTGCAATATAATTCAAGATCCCGAAAAGCACTTTGTTTACAACCATGATGTAGTAAAGGCAGAAGAACCAAGTGTTTCAATTTTATGACATCGTTTGAATGAAACAAAATTTCAAAATCTAGAAAAAGTACTAAATGATTGATTAAAGTTTATGCACAGTATTAAAAGAAGTATTAACTAGTTAATAAAAGTTTAAATTAATCAGAATATCACAATCATAAAATTTTTGTACTTTCTTTACTAGTTAAAAGTGTTTCTTCCTTAAAATTAGTGTAAAAAAAAGGTATTGCAGATTGTAAAACAAATTGTGTGATAGCAAAATGGTTGTTGACATCATAATGGACCAGTTATACATATAATATTACAATGTATGAATTTTAGAACTACAGTAAAATTACTAATTTAAAAATTATTTTTCAACTCTTGCAAATTTAATGTTTTTTTCCCCCTCCAAAAATAGCAAAATACTTAGTTTCTACTCAAAGAATTCTATATTTGAACTTAATATTTTTCTTTGAGCAGCAATACACTTTGGTTATGCACAATAATGAGCATCCTCCTAGAAAAAGTAGACACACATATACACAATTAATTGTGTTACTTAAATTTGAAGTAAAGCTTTTATTTTATACCTCATAAACTATACAACTGTTTTTAACAAGAAAAATTTTTCAGAAATTAAATTTTCCCGTATAATTTTTTTAAAAAAATGCAGATGTGTATAATATGGGGTCAATTAAAAGTTTTCATAATGATAAAGAATTTCAGGTACATATGATTGTTGAAAAAGCTGAACTCAGCACCACGTGTGGGTAAAATGGAAAATCAATGACATACTAATAACAAAATTCCATATACAATGACAAAATTCCTTACTGACAGCCATGAAAGAAATTTTGTCTGAATTTTTTAGCATTGTAAAACTTTATTTTATAAAAAATAAATTAAAACATAAAAAATCTAATCAGGTTAAAGGTAAAACAATTTATTATATTAAATACTATTATACTATTAACTGTGATAATTGAATATTGTCTTTTTATTTAAAAAACAGTAAATTCATTTTTCTTCATAAGTTTAAGTTTTAAACCCTAGCTTCAAAAACTACAAAAGAAGGGGAATCTTGCTCTGAAGGTTTAAAAAAAAAAAAAAAAAATTAAGCAATATAAATAATACTCAACTCCTATTTTTTCACAATAAAAACATATTTGTTTAAAATATTACCAGTAATGTCATGCTGCAAAGTATTGTAAACCATTGGAACTTGATGAAAAAAATTAAGCTGCAATTTTCGATTGTGTGAGTCAGTTGATTGAATTTTATCATGATCTGGCACTTCTCCCATAAAATGAATTTTTTCATAATGACCTAGATACCTAAGAAAATAAAAATATTATATAGTTATAATAATTATTGATATTTCAAGAAAAACTTTCACACCTTTACAATTAAATCTTTGATCAGTTAATATAAATTGAAAGGCAGCCAACATGGCTTGAAGCTAATGAACTCCTTCAGGACCCATGTAATAAGAAAGAAGCACTTCCCCAGGCTCGCACGTTGCAAATTTATGTGTACCAATGAGTACATATAAGCAGTAATACGAGTTTCCACATTGAGATCATGCTTTGGTGATCTTGGGCCACTAAAGTCAGACACCGTGGGCCGTGAAGGAAGAATCGAACGATTGCATAGACAACAGTGAGTTTTAAGTTGCCTTCATTATGGACAATTCTTGTGAAGAAAAAGGATTGTTCTTATTTTGGTCTGGCTACTATATAGAGCTTATTAACTACCTCTAGTTGTGGATTGACACTCTTTTCCTCAGTGGTTAGAGCTTTTGGCAATAGCCCAAAGGCCCCATGGCAGACAAGCACCTCTCTCCCTTTGCATGGGTGATTACAGACAACAAATTTGCAACAATCTCACTCCTCATTGCATGGTAGCACAACAATACTTCATGTCATCAAGACTTTCTCATTACTCGCGAGGAAGTATATGGTAGTTAGTCTATAGAGCTTTCTCAATGACTGGAAAGTATAGGCTCTTGGTGCCCAAGATTCTTAAATTTTTGAGTCTTTCTTTCTTTCTTTTTTTTTTTTAACATGAAATGAGTCCCAATTTAATACATAGGTAATTATTAATTTTCTCAATAATTTCATAAAGAATTAAAACCAAAATTTTTTTGCCAGTAGTCTTTGTAAGTTCAAGTTAGGTAATCTTTTCCAAAGTTAGCAAGATACACAATTTTCTTTTTCAGAAACACACATATGTATGCTGATTTTATCATTTAAAATAACACTTCGCTAAGCGAAGGCTAACACAATTATCACTGAGAACTGAATAGTATGTAAACAAATTAAAAAAATTTGCAAATAACATAAGACAACTTTAGCTTACAACAAACAACTTTAACAAATAACGAACTTTATTATTAACAACAGACAGTATAACAGACGTAATTGCTTGAAGAAAAAATTATCTAAAATTTTTTTCCTCAATATTTACTTTTTGCATTTTTTTCCGTACATATGAGAAAAAGACTCATTTTTACGCACCAAAGTAACATTTAGGAAATTTAAAGAGAGGGAAAAAAAACTTAAAAAATTTTTATCCACATCAACACAGTAAAAAATACATACATTTAAAAAAATTATTACACATTCCTCCTTTTTCACATTTAGCGAGTGACCATCACATAAAAAAACGATTTTAAAAATTGTGAAATCCATGGCAATTACTGAAGAAAAAAAATTTATAATAAAAACGCATGCACTCAGGATGAAATCACCAGAATTAAAAGTGTCAAAAAGTGTTCATTAAATTTATATGGAGATAAATGTGTAGTAAGAAACAATATCGTAATAAAAAAAATAGAGATTTTAAAAAACATGAAAAAACTAGTAGTGATAACTGCCAAAAAAATTGATTAAAAAAAAGGAAAACAATACAATTATTGCCTAAAATAGTGAATAATCAAGTGCAGAATTTGAATTTCTGATACTATCATAATATCATAATTTTAAAAAAAATTGTGAAAATAAACAGCAATAACTGCATATCATATAAAAATATCAGAATTTAAAAAACCGTGTGAATATATCAGTAGTAATAACTGTGAAAAGGTAGATTTAAAAAAAAAAAAAAAAACAGCGGTATCGTCACATCAAAAATTGACTAATAAATGCACAAATTTAATTTTGCATGTAATGCATAAAAATAATAATGCACAAAAAATTCAGGGATTCAAAAAAAAAAACATTTAAAAAAAATTGCAACATTAATCAATAGCTGATACAACAATAAAAAAAACAACATAGATTTAGGATGGTATTGATCCTAACCAAACACAAACTGCAGTTATTACTCAAATGCGCAATTAAAATTTTGTGTATCATATCAGAATTTACAAACAATTACAAAACTATTTGCATTAACTGAAAAAGAAAAAATGAGGATCGAAACGTCAAGGTGCGGTCCTTTGGTCTCGTTTAATTGTTCTACTGTAAAGTGCTCAACTTTGCGCACAGGCTGTTGAGCTATCAAAGTAGAGGAGCCACCCCCTTTGCAGAGAATAAAAATTGTGATCTCATGTCTTCAGATCATCCTCAGGGAGATTTCCCAGACCTACGGCAATGTACAGCTCTAGTGCGACGTAAATAAAGTACCTACCAACCAGAAAAGTGGTTTCTGAAATGTGCGATTCGAAATTTCAATGTCAAAAATATATTAAAAATTATTTGACCCAATTGTAGCCAAATAGATCACATTGATCGAATGATATTTCTGTTATAAACCGGAATTTGCAACAAAACTACTACACCCTAAAATAAAAGAAAAATTCCCTAAAAAAAAATTCCGTTTTTTTAGCAAACGATCGTTTAAATGTTTGCCATTTCAGAACTATTTTTTAGGTTATTAATTTTTGTCTTTGCCTCAGTAGCTCATTAATTCTAGCTGAAGTTTTTATAGAACTTTATTTTTTCAGTCTTGCTTTCTTCAAATTTATTTAAAGTTTTTTTCTCTGACAAATCTTAGTAAAAAAAGCCGTTATCGAGAGTGAAATAAATCTCAAGAAAAAAAAAGTGTGTTGGTAAGGGCGGAATTATAAATGTCTAGTTAGCGAGATTTTGCGTAAGCAATGAATTTTAAATTTTAGATCAGTGAAACTGCAAGAAGAGTTTGTCATAACATAAATTATTGATTCGCAGAAGTTTATGAATCAACAGTCTTGTAATTCGCTGTATTAGCAGAAGAATCACACGACAGGTATAAAATGATTGTATTCTCATATAGAAATAAAAAAGAATAAAGTAACTTTTAATTTCTGTTACCAGGTACAAATCAATAAAATGTGAAAATTTTGTGATTTATTTCTTATACAAAATACTACGTTGTAACTGATTTTTTAATGAAAATTAAAATTCTGATTTTAGCAGTTGTCTCATCTAATATATTTAAAGAGAAGTTTTTTTTATTTTATTATATCTAATATTTTATTAGATAATTACTTTCATTTTAATTTTTATAAACTTAAGAGATAGCATAATTTTCATTTCACCAAATATATATATATTGCATATGAAATTATATTAGTAACTGTATTGATTGAAAAATATTTTTCAAAAAAAATCATTTTGTAACATTAAAAGCAAATTTTTTTTTAAAAAAGTCAACTAAATAGTAGGCAAATTAAAATTTTTAATTAAGATAAAAACATTCTTAATTTTTAGAAATTGCAAAATCCTGCATTAAAATAAACTCACACTTCAAACTTTGTTTTAAAAATTAAAACACAGAAAAGGAGGAGAAATAAGTCCTCATACACAATAAAAACAAGGATTTAATGATCAGCGACATCGGAGCACAGGCAATGAATTCTCTACTTCTTCATTCATCTATTGTTTGCACATTTAAAATCTTTCCATTTATTGCTAAACAAAACTAAAGCATTCATATTTTGAGTAATCAAAGCATCTCCAATAAACTTGTGTTAACACAGTGATCAAATATTTTCCAGCATATTATAGTTTTTTTCCCCAACCTCTCTAAGTTGCAGTTAAATCAATTGAATTTTACATCCATAACAGAGCCATCTCAACGAAATGCACACAGGGCCCTTTGTCAAAACTTTTTAAGGAGAAGAAGGTGGTGGTGGTTGTTAATTTACGTCGCACTAGAGCTGCACAATGGGCTATTGGCGACGATCTGAGAAACATCCCGGAGGATGATCCGAAGACATGCCATCACTATTTTGATCCTTTGCGGAGGGGATGGCACCCCCGCTTCGGTAGCCCGACGACCTGCACGTGAAGTCGAGCACTTTACGGTAGCACAGTTTAACGAGGACCAATACCGCACACCCTCGGTCCCTACGCAGACTGATCCAAGTGGTCACCCACCCGCACACTGACTGTAGCCAGTGATGCTTGGCTACGGTCAGTGTGCGAGGAAGAAGGCTAGCTTTCATTTAGTGTAAACCGGCCCCCCAAGGGTTGGTACGGTCCCTGTGTATATAAGGAAAAATAACATTTAGGGGCACAGCAACAGAAGTTCTCGAAACAGATTTACACCTCCCCCCCCAACCGCTGATGACTGAGGTTGGCTAGAAAGAAAGTTCTCTTTTTTTTAAAAGTTGGTTTCTCGCTATATTTTTGCACTATTTAAATTGCACTGTTCTCTTTATTAAGATATTTCTTTAAGAATTTATTTATATTATTCTTGTCGATTAAATCTGCAAACATATTTTATTCTGTAATAATGAAAGAAATAATAAAATGATGAATAAATGATAGAACAAAATAATAAAATGACGGGAGGCAGCGTACCCAACCATAAATTTGTCTAACAACCAGTTCAAGTGAAGTACCTCCTGAGTGTCACTTTGCTTTGTATGTACCTGGATTTTGGCACATATGTTGCTCTGCTAAATCTGAGTATAAATCTTGTATGTTGTTCTTCCCATAAATTGCTGTTCTGATGTCATACTGCGCAATTCCCCCCGTTAATTACGTATTCTATATTCCTTGCTTCGAGCTCAAATATATTTTGGAAATTGTTTCAAATTGGGCTACAAAACTTTCATATAAAAAAAAAATTAAGCATTTCAATGATTTTAAAAAATTTGGAATGGTTATCCTTTATAATCTTTGATACTTAAAATTGAAATAAATTTAAAATATAGAAATAAAAATCAAAACATAGAAGTTATTTAAAATAATTAAATAAATAAAAAGGTATAACTAGGCAAAACGTAAGTAAACTTTTATTGTCTTTTCAGAATTGGTGAAGCATTTTTAGAGACATGGACATGAGTTATCCTCCTAAATGTTACTCGCATTAATTTGCTCTACGTAGATACTTTTTTCCGGAAAGA